CCCCACAAGTGGCAGCAATGGCCAGGGCTGAGGTAGACCCAATCCAAGAGCCAGGAATCTCTTCTGGGTCTTCCATGTGGGTTCAGGGGTCCAAGGGCTTGAGTCTTCCACTGCTTTTCTCAGGGAGCTGGACTGGAAATGGAACAATTGCCAATCTCATATGAGACACAAGTGCTGCAGATAGTGCCTTAATCAGGCGTGCTATAATGCAGATCCCTGTACTTTTATTTTTTAAAAATATTTCAACTTCTTACTCATTTACTATTTAATTGAGAAGCAGAGAGACAGACACAGAGTCCCTCTTCGCTGATTCACACTCCAAATGCCTACAAGTGCAAGGAGTCTGGAGCCAGGAATTGATGGGTAGCAAGGACCCAGCTACTTGAGCCGTTACCTGTTGCCTCCCAGGGCATTAGCAGGAAGCTAAATTGGGAGTAGAGATGAGACTCAAATGTGGCCACTTGGATATGCAATATGGGTATTCCAATCGTTGGTTTAACTGCTAGGCCAAATGCCTGCTCCCCTTCACCATTTGTTAATGTCTCATAGATCTGCACTGTTAACTGACCTTCTAATCTTTATATTAAGACATTGTATTTCTTCTCCTTTTTCCTTCATTATTCATTCTTGCTAGGTGATTGTCAATATTAATAGTCCTTGAAAACCAATCAAGTTTGTTGGTATTTTGTATTACTTGCAGTTTAAGTGATTTCCAGTTTTATTCTTTAAACTTCATTCTCCTACTTTCAAGCAATTTGTGCTTACTTTCTATTTGCTTATGGTGGAAATTTAGTTCATTGATCTTTTAAAGGATTTATTTATCTTTGAAAGGCAAAGTCAGAGAGAGAGAGAGAGAGAGAGACGAGAGAGAGAGACGAGAGAGTGCATGCTTTCACCTGCTGGTTCATTTTCCAAATGGCTATGATGGTGGTCAGGTTGAAGCCAGGAACCAGACCTTCTTCTGAGTCTCCCATGTGGGTTCAGGGCCTCAGGCACTTGGGCCATCCTGCACTCATTCCCTGGGAATACCAGCAGGAAGCTGGATCAGAGGTGGAGCAGCTGGGACTTTACCTGGTACCCATAAGGGGTACTGGTGCCCCAGGTGGGGGCTTTCCCCACTATGCCATGGTGCTGGCTCCAGTTCATTGATTTAGAACATTTCTCTTTTTTTCTGATAGAGGCAGAAAAGTTGTAAAGTTGCTTTGAAGACCTCATATAATATCATCTATCAAATTTCAAATTGTCATATACTCATTATCCTTCTACTCCATGAAAGATACTGTTAAGAGAATGAAAAGACAAGCCACATAGTTTGAAACACACTTCTATGGTAAAGGACAGATATTCAGAATATACAAACAATTACTTAAATTCAATAATAATTAAATAACCTAAGTAAAAATACAGCAAACACAAAATTCTTGCATCCCATATCAGAGTATCTTGGTGCAAGTTCCAGCTTTGCTCTGGAGTCCAGCTTCCTGATGTTGCACATCCTGGGAGGTAGCTGTGATAGCTTAAGCAGCTACGCCCTCATCATTCATGTAAGAGATCTAGATTGAGTTGTAGGTTCCTGGGTTCAGCCAGGCACAGCCCTGGTTTTTATAGGCATTTGAAGAGTGAATAATTGATGGGAAATTGCTCCATGTCTGCGTGTCTGTCTTGTCTCTGGCTTTCCGACAAATTAAACAATTTTTAAAAGTTTTAAATAGAAGTAAAGATCTAAATTGCTCATCCAAGATATATATGATGGTAAATAAACATATGAAAAGATACACAATATCATGTCATTATGGAATTGCAATCAAAACAATAGGATGTCACTCCAAAGCTCTTAGGAAAGCTGAAATTCAGAACACTGAAACACTAAAGTTGGCTAGGATAAAGAGCAACAGGAACTCTTTATTAGCTGGTGGGAATGCAAAATTGATTACTGTTGCATTGAAAGATATTTTTACAGCTTCTTACAAAATTAGACACACTTTTTATCATGATTCAGCAATCAGGTTCCTGATTCCTGTGACAAAACTTACAGGAATCAGGAGAACCTGCATACATTTGTAACTTATTCACAATTGTCAAAACGTGGAAGCAACCAAGATATCTTTCAGTAGGTGAATAGGTAAACTGGTACATTGAGACAATGGAATATCATTCAGCAACAAAAAGAAATAGACCATCGAGGTACGAAGTGATAGAAGGAGACTGAAATGACTATTAAGTAAAGCAAGTAAGTGTATAAAAATCTATCCATTGTAGAATTCCATGTAGGTTCTTTAAAATAATCATTAAAAATAGAATATAAGCTTACTTTGGTGTAAAAAGATTTAAAATAATTAATCAGAAATGCATATTACGAACAAGCTGTGCATGGATTTCAAACACTTTTGTACCAAAAGAAATTTATTTTTGAATTACATTTATGCACAAAACTTTTGTAACGCTAGTATATATGACACCCAATAAAAGGCAAAGATACAGAGCAAAATAAAACTTAGTGTTTGTAAGGGGCTCCAGGAATAGAAGTAGGATGAATAGGCAAGGCACAGGGATTTTAGGGCAGCGAAGCTATTCTGTATGATACTGTAATAGTGGACACATGTCATGTATTTATGAAAAGCCATGGAATATTCACTGCAAAGATGGAACCCTAGTGTAAATCATGGTTTTTAACACACACACATATTATATATAATGGTTAATCACTCACAAGAAATATATCACACCAATGCCAAATGCACAGCTAGCACACTGAATGGTGAAAGACTGAAAGCATTCCTATAAGATCAGCAACAAGACAAGGATGCCAACTTTCACCACTTCTATTTAACATTTATTTGGAATCTAGCCAGAGAAATTAGGCAACAAAAATACATTAAAGGGATCCATATTTTAAAAGGAAGAAGTAAAGGTGTCTCTTTTTTGCAGCTAACATGATCTTATTACATAGAAAATCCCAACAGTTCCATGACAGAACTGCCAGTACTAGTAACAGGTAAATTTGCTGTATACAAAATAAACACACAAAAGTAATTTGGATTTCTAGACACTAACAATGAATGAACTGAAAAGGAAATGAATAAAACATTTGTAATAATATTAGAAACAATAAAATGTTTCTGAATAACTCTAAGAAAAGATAAAAAACAACTGTATACCTGAAAAATAGAAAACAATTGTGAAAAGACACAGACATTGCTCATGAAATGGAATATATCAGTACTACCAAAGCTATCTAGAGATTCAATAAAATGCATGTGAAAATCCCAATGATTTTTGATAATCATATTTATTTTATTAGCCAAGAATAACATTAACAAAGATGAAGAAAGCTTTAAAACGTAAGATACAGTAAAAAATATAAGCAATTACAAGTGTTATTACATAGCATAGTGCTCTAAGAGAAAAAGTATTAGTATTTGCTACAAAAAAAGAAATCAGGAAGGGGAGAAGGGGGTGAGGAACACGGGCAGGAGGGAGGGAAAGATGCGAGGTATCACTGTGTTCCCAAATCTGGATTCTGAGACATGGGAAATTTGTTCACTTCATATAAATCAAATCAGTTATTTTAACAAGATATATTATGGCAGGAGGAAAAAACTGGGAGGGAAGAAAAGGAAGGAAGAGAGGAATCCCTACACCTACAAAACTATATAATGGTACACTTTTTAAAAAAAATGGAAAAAAAATTTTAAAAAGATTGATTATAAGAAATGTCTCCTACAGGCTCAAACCAAAATTCTAGAGAACTTTCTGAAAAATAATACCTATGTCTAAACAATTTAATCATGCAAAGGAAATACACTAAGATAGAAATGGGGAAGGCCCGGCACAATGTCTCAGTTGGCTAATCCTCCACCTCCAAATGCCAGGATCCCATATAGGTGCTGGTTCCTGTCCTGGCTACTCCACTTCCCATCCATCTCCCTGCTTGTGGCCTGGGAAAGCAGTGGAGAATGGCCCAAAGCCTTGGGACCCTGTACTCCTGTGGGAGACCTGGAAGAAGCCCTTGTTTCTGGCTTCCAATTGACTCAACTCTGACCATTGCAGTCATTTGGGGACTGAACTAGGGGATGGAAGATCTTTCTTTCTGTAAATCTGTCTTTTCAATATTAAAGACAAAAATGGTGAAGTATTTTTATCTTTTTATATTAAAAGTAATCTAAATCAACACAAACCTTTGTATATCTGTAAGATTCAGAAATATGTCACACTGTTTTTATTTTTTTATTCACTCATGTTCAAATCACTTTTTCTTTTTTTTTTCACAAATGTTATTCTACGCTATGTTTTGGTAACTTTTACACAATATTTCTTTTAAAGTCAGAATGACACAGAGGGGAAGGGAACGAGGGGCAGAAGGAAGGATGGATCTTCCAGTCATTGGTTCATTCTCCAAACTGCTCTAACAGCCAGGGCTAGGCCAGGCTGAAGCCTGAGGGCCGGGAACTCTATCCATGTGTCCCATGTTGGTGGCAGAGATGCAACTAATTGAGCTATCCTTTTCTATTTGTCAGGCACTTTAATAAAGAGATAAAGTGGGACAGCAGAAATTTGAACCAGCATTTTGATACTGAATGCAGACATCACAAATAGTAACTCATAGTGCCACAGTATCCACTTCTTGTTGGCTTTTTGTTTGAAAATAGGAAATGTTGAGGTAATATTTCAGATAAGCAGAAAACTGTATTATATGTAATGTACTAATTTTAGGTCATTTCATTTTACTGAGGTTTTTAGTAGATTTAAATTCCCCAGTTGTACAGTGTTACAATTAGCAACAAGGTAATAATCTTCAGGAATGCAAGATGTAAACAGGAATTATGATGAACTGTGCCCAATTATATTTTATATAAATTTAAGCAAAATTTTGTTAAGGCAGTGTACACAAGTCACACCTTAAACTCTGAAACAACACAGAAAAACCTATTTGTACTTAAAACAGTTTGAAAAGGCCCAAGTACAAACTATAGTGGTTGACAAGAGTATTGTCTCCTGTACTTCATGGTGTTAGAATTACTTGTTAGTCCTAAATAATACTTTTAAAGTCTAGATTTAGAAACTATACCTGGATTACATTTTTCATCGCAGTAATTGCAAGTGTAACAGACTTAGGAATGTAGAAAGGGGCAACGGACTGAGCTAGAACTAGATGTTTAGCAGAGTGGGGTTAGTTAAAAGTGTCTGAGTTCTCCGTAAAAAGCTCTTCAGGAATAAAATCATCAGGTAAGGATACTAGGTCTGCATCCACTGTAGGAGAACCCTCAGGTGTAGAATCATCCAGTAAACGAGTTGAAGAAGTGGTCAAAGTTATTTGTCTTTCAGCTGCCATTTCAATGTAACCACCAAGCCTCTGGTCTAGGACCTTACTGGTCCTGGACAAAATGAAATGTAATGGTGCATTAAATGTAACCAGTTTGGACTGATAAATAGGTTTTCTAACTAGTGGAGGGCCCTGGTGAATGGGATGGAAGGCCTTCTCTTGGGTCCACCTGGTAAAGTTTGAGGGCGCCCACTCAATTGGAAAAGGAGGCTGAGTAAGGCCTACAATTGCATGGTGACATTGAGGGCAAAAGCTAGCTCTAAACATTCGATCTAGGTCACCTTCGGAATAATCATTTTGAACAAGCCTAGTCTGTTGTAACCAATGTCCTAAAGCTAGAGTAGGGAGAGATGGCTCTTTACAATCAGGGCAACACCACTTATCTAAAGACATTTTTGTTGCAAGGCGGCACAATCAGTCAACAAGAAAGAACAGCACGAAATGTCATTAAAAGCACAGTTAGTTCTTGTAACAGAGCTAGCTTACTTCAGACTTTAAACTTGAAAAAGTAAATTTGACAATGGGGACAGGAGTGCCACTTGGAGCCTCTGTGTCTAATAAAATATGTAATAGTAAGGGAAGAATGCCTTATAAACAAATAATAATGCTCTAATTAAATAAGCTTGTGAGAGTTCAGTACATTAAATGGTAAATAAACCTACTAGCATTAAATAGATGTGAAGAGAAGCAATTGAGTAGAATTCTATTAATGTCAACAGATTTAGTTTAGCTATACAAATGGAGGTCTATTCCACATGCCTCAGAGACATTTCTTCAAGGCCAGTTCTTTCTTCTTCCTTGAATGCTAAGCCCAGTCTCAGCTCTTAAAAAGCAGTCCGTACAAGATAGAATCCGTTGCCTTCCAGTGACACGGATCACAAACTTTGGATATTAGCACTCAAGGTGAAGTCTGCCTGAGCAGGACAGTTTTGAGTGAACTCAGACACCAATGATGCTTTCCAGATGGATCTGCACAGTTATCTCAGTTGGCAGTATTAGGTTCCCCTTGATGTTTAGTAGTGGTAGTTGATGAGTTTGATGAGTTATTGCTTGTTGTAGGTGATTTTCATTAGTCAGGAAGGTAAACTGGCAGAAAGTCTTGTTAGACTATTTCTCAGAGCATTTCTAATGAAGTTCTACCTTTTTGCTCTCAAATCTTGACACAATCTCTTAGAAGTACTTGATGTAAGGCATCGGGTCGCAGGTTGCACTTGGAATTTCAGAAATGTGCCAGATGAACTGATGGAGGGAAGAAGAGAATTGGACAAATAATCAGGCCCATGCTGCTCACTATCTGGATAACCAATTCATCAGAGATGAGTGTGGGTCAGAGGAAGTAGTTTATTTCAAGCTGGCTTCATGGGGGGAAGGGATATCTCTTGATAAAAAACATGTTCTTTTCCCAAATATGACTTTTTTTTGCATAAAACAATTCATCCTAAAATTTATATGGAATCTCAAGGGAATAGCCAGCACAATTTGAAGTACAAAATTGGAAGAGTCACATTTCCTGATTTCAAACCTCATTAGAAAGCCTCCAAAATAAAAACAATGTGGTTCTATCATAAAAACATATGTAGACCAAAGGAATATAACACAAAGTCAATAAACAAATAAATAAAAGCAATTTCAATGGTGAATGATACCACCCAACAGTGCTTGGAAAACTGGATGTCCATGTGCAAAAGAATGCAGTTGGACCCTTACCATGTCATGCATAAAAACAAAAATGGATCAAAAGCACAAACACTAAGTTCTTAGAAGAAAAGAGAGCAAAGGCCCGGAACATTGGATTTAGTGGTGATTTCTAGGATATGACACCAAAAGCATACACAACTAAACAAAGAAAACAGATGACTTGAATGTTAACAAGCCAACACTTTTTTTTTTTGGCATCAAAGAACACTATCATAAGAGTGAAAATACATCCTACAGAATGGGGATCTAGTCACAAAAGGCTAGTGATTTGTCCAATGTGAGCCACTGAATAACATGACTACTTTCCTACTGAAAGCGAACTGCATAAATAGTTCTGTTGTTTGTTGCCATAGTAGAGGTTTCTTGATTTTCTTTAAAGTCATTTATTTATTTACTTGAAGGTGAATGTTATAAAGACAGATGGAGAGGCAAGATCTTTCATCTGCTGATTCACTCCCTAAATGGCCACAATGGCCAGGGCTGAGCCAGGTCAAAGAAAGAGACCAAAAACTCTGTGAGTCTCCCATGTGGGTGGCAGAGCTCAAGCACTCTGGCCAGCTTCTGTGGCTTTCCCAGGTGCATTAGCCGGGAGCTAGATGGAAAGGGAAGCAGCTGGGAGTTAAACCAGTGTTCATACAGGATGTAGTCATTGCAAGAGGTGGCTTAACCTACTACACTATGGTGCTGGTCCCAGAGAATCACTGGTAAAGCATCTAGGCTCACCATGAAAAAATTAGCCATCCATGAATAGACAGACTAGGAAAAAATGTTTTCTGCTTAAGTCTTCTCCTTAAGTCATTCTATACTGCAGGTAATTGTCTGGACTGAGAAAGGCGGGTTGGGATGTCAGCAACAATGACTGTAGTTATCAGTCAAAGGGCAGAGACTAACCAATGTCTTATACTTGGTTGCCATAGCCTGGTATAGTGACTGTCACTATAGCAAGAAGTCATTTAGTGAAACCTGATAGAAATGGATAGATGGATTGATGGATGACACTTTACTCATTCCCTTGAACAGCAAGATCCAGTATCTTAAGTCTATTGACAACTGCAACCTAACTTGTTTGATATATTCTTATCAATATATACCTGTCATCATATTGTACTGGTCCATATTGAATGCTCCAAATGTTGTCACAAGCTTCATAGCTTTCTATGTCTCTAAATGCTCTCTCAAAGACATACTGCAGCCCTCAGGTCACACAAGCCTGTTTCAGAACCTGAGTTGTATGATTTTCTTCAAAATATTCTGTTCAACCCAAAAAATATAACATATAACTGCTGGCTAAGGAAATGCTAGTGGTTGTAAATGCTGAGTATCTTAGCCCATTTTGTGCTGCTATACCAGAATACCACATACTGGGTAACTAACTAGTAACGAACAGAAATTCATTTATCATAGTTCTGGAGACCGAGAAGTTTGAGATCAGGGATTATATCAGGTGAGAGTCTTCTTGACGTGGCAGAAGGACAAAAGAGGGCAAGAGAGAAAGAGGAGGGGGTTGAACTCATCCTTTTGTAAGGAACTCACTCCCACAATAATGAACTGATTCCTGCAACAATGGCATTAATCCACTCATGAGGGTAGAGCTCTCTACCCTGCATTGCTGCATTGCAGTTTGAACTTTGGTGGATACAATCAAACTGTAGCACTGACCAAGGAAATAATAATCACATAGCACAGAATCCTCACCATCGATGAAAGCAAAAGCATCCTCAGAAATCTTGAATGATTTATATGATTCCAGGTCCTTTCTCTGTGATGTCTAGTACTCAAAAGAAAGCTCATCCAGTGTTGCTGAGAAAAGAGCTTCACATAAATTACGTCTGTTTCAGAAAAGGCACTTTTTATTTTCATATAAAATTCGCTATTACATGATGAGAGAGAATTTCTACTTTAGTTTCTTGGGATGCCATTCATCATCAGCTTTAAGTAGAATATCAAGCAGAGGGTACATCTCCTCTTGAATAAGTTAACATTACTATAGATTTTCTCCACTATCCACGAAGGATATTTTCTAAGACCCCATGCCTGAAACCACAAATACTAGACTCTCTGAATACCATGTTTTTTCCTATATATACACAAACTGTGTTAAGGTTTAATAAATAAATGAGGCACAATAAAATATTAAGAATAATAACAATACAGGTCAGTTACAATATTCTGTAATAAAAGTTATGTGAATACAGTTTCTCTTAAAATGATGTGCTCTATTCATCCTTCTTCCTGTGATATGATATGGTACAAATGCCAGCATGATGAAATGGAGTCAAGTGAATGATACAGGAGGCACTGTGATGTAGATATCATACAAAGACTGCATGAACTGCAACACAGAGACAGTTAATCTAATAACCGTTACAGCTACAATGTGACTAGTGGCTGGGCAGTATATACAGCATGGATATGTTGGGTAAAGGGATGACTCACATCCCAGGAGGGACAGAGAGGGATGGTATGAGATTTCATCAACTACTCAGAATGTCACAAAATTTTAGACTTACAAATTCTTCATTTCTGGTTTTTCCATTTAATATTTTCATGCAATTAAAACCATCGAAAGTCAAACCACAGGAGGACTACAAATCTAAATTCAAAGTTTGTATACTCTGACACACTACAAGATTTGTATAGTCAGAATCTACACTAACCAAGTGAAAGCTTCTTTGGGACAATGCCTGAATGTTGACTAAGTTAACTTTTAAGTATATTACTACATTCTAAGACTGAAAGGAAATATTCACAGAGGATAAAAATTCATCACCTAGATCCCTGGTATGAATACTTGAAATTGTGTTCAAAAGGGTTCTCAGAGGCTTGGTCAAAAGCAGATTATAATGACAGGCAGGAAGCTGATGAATTTCTAACTTTGATCATGAGGATTTTCAGTACAAACCATCAAGGTTTAGCTTAGCACTGAAATTTGAAATGAGACAGGCAGTGTTAAATCACAAATAATCCTAAAGGTCTAGAATAATAAAGGGAACCTTAAAAATTAGGCTCTGCTTCTAGCAAAATAGTGACTGGAACTCCACTGTCCGCCTCTATCAAAGGCCCCAGTGCCTCTCATTCACTCAAACTGAATCCCCCTCATCATTAAACATACAATGAATTAGCAGCCAAATTTGAATATGTCCTAACTTAGCACTACCTCTCCACTAGTCAGTGTTCTTCCACTTAGATTCTGACACTCGATCTCTTGATCTCCACCAAGTTATTCTCACATTGTAAATAAATAATTTTCAGAGTCATGCTGATGTAACACAAAGACTCAATAAAACACACAAGGTGAACCCAGCCCTTATACTACACTTATACCATGGCTATTACCAACTTGAACTATTTTTAGTAGACAGTTCTTCCTATTTCTTGAACCTTTGCATCTGCTATTTCCTCTACTACAACTAGAAAGAGCAGAGTAACTGACAAGATGCATGCCCTCTCCTGGAGGATACATTTGTGGTGTGAAGATTAAGCATCTGAGGGCCAGAGCACAGCAGATGGTAAACATGACAAAGGTAAAAAACTATCAGGACTGAATTTTAAACTCCAGCAATACAGAGGGTATATTTTATTCATATTCCTCCCATGGAATACAACTAAAAATCCATGGTGGTATATGAGGATACAAAACAAAGATAAAAGAGATTTTTCAAAGGTGGAAATAAGCTAGGATTCTTGAAACCAAAAGAACAACACAGTGTTGAGTTCCAGGGGTTTTCTTCTTGGTTTCTAGTGTTTCAGATGAAGCACTAGAGAAGCTAGCAACCCAGAAATACCAAAGGGCACAAAGAAAACAGCACACAGTCCTGCTCTTCCTAGCCAAAGATGGGGTGGAAAAGCAGCCTACTCAGAGAGAAAACTTTTATACAATAACTGCCCTATTAATCCAACTGTTATGAATTAAACATGGTTTGCCTGTCCCCAAGGATTCATGCATTAGTAGCTTGGTCCCTAGTGTGACAACGTTGAGAGGTGGTGGAGTTGGAAAAAAATGGGGCTTAGTCAAAGGTAATTAGGTCATTAGGGGTGCTACTCTTGGAAGAAAGTAATATAATTATCTTCTCTGGGGATGCCAGTGAGCTCCCAAAAGATAAAATTATTTTGAAAAGAGCAAGAATGGCCACTTTCTGTGCTCTGGCTTCTTGTCTCAACATATGTTTCTCTCTCTTCACACACTACCTCCATGATGTCATCTGTCACGAGGGCCTTACCCACGATTGCCAATCACGGACTTTTGGTATCCAAACCAGCAAACTAAATAAATTCCTTTTCTTTATGTTACCCAGCCCCAGATACTCTGTTGTATCAATGGAAAGCTGATAATATGACAAGCAGAAAAGGGAAAAAATGCAGTCTTATCCGATCTTGCTAGAAAAGACTGTGTGGAGAAGGACACACACACACACACACTCTCTCTCTCTTTTACATGCCCTTCTTGACATGGCACCAAAGAAAGCCAAGTAGCCATCTAGGACTTTCATTCTCAGTGGGTATTATTAGGGTCCCATTGCAGAGGCAACAGAGACCACATG